CTACTGTTGATTTGGCTGATTGACCAGGTCTTACTTATAATTTTTTGCATTTGGGACTTTCGTAAGGATCAATTTTTCATCACCAGTCACAATCCGACTTCTTTGCAAATCACATATAGTCGCATTAACCTACTACTATTAAGGGAATTGCTCGACTTTTTCAACTCAATTGCTTCCAAGGTGCTAAAGTTATGACACTACAAGTATATTGTGTGGGTGTGCGGTCTCTCATAAACAACAGAAGAATATGTGAATAGAACTATCAATATATGATCGTAGCATGTGAAGCGCAAAATACCGGCTCCAAAGGGCTATTGAATTCTACTACAAGTAAAAGCTTTTCACGTCCAAAATGTGGCAAAGTTTAACTTTGTCTACTAAAAATTTACCACAATTAGAAGAAAAAGATATCATATGCCTGAGATAAAATTTCAGACGTCCCTAACCGGCTACTAATTTTTGGGAATGAAAAAAAAAACCGTATCAATTGTTTAAAAACTTTAAATTTTTTTGGAAATTCGATTATTTATCAGATTAAAACTAAAAAAAAATAGGTCATTGTATGGAGAACTATAACTATATACAGAACATAAAGAAAGAATTTGATAGAAATAGATAGATAGAAATGGAGCATTTATCTCTGAGTAATCACTCAAGCAAGTTTGAAAAATAAAACAACGGGTTTCAAGTTAAACTGATGAAGCTGATTGAACTGAGCGGCTACACATTAGAAGGCTGTAACTCAAAAACTCTTTAAGATTTTGATTTAAATTTTTAATAAGATATTTTGAAAGGTACAACGAATTAAAAAAAAAAATTATTTTACGCTTGGTGTGCGCCTTAAAAATTTTTGGAAGTTGTCCCACTGTCTAAACGACTCATTCCCAAACGAATATTGGCCACCAAAATCACGCGCCACCTGCAAGCACTTCTGAATTTATAACAAATTTAAGTGAAAACATTAGGAGTATGAAACCTTACCATTTGAGTAAACATTCGTGTCATAAAAGTTTCACACGTTATGGTTCCAACTCATACCTAGCGAATAGACAAAGAAACAATCATTTATGTGCACAATAATTGAAAATAAAATCGATTCTTAAGTATCCAATAGTGACCTTGAACCACAATGCTATTTCGCTAAGGTGAGATGATTTTAGTTTTATTGTTCGCTTTATTGCCGCGATCAAAGTCAAAGCTATTGAAAATACGCATTGTTTTGCTAAATAAAAATAAATTCACATTCGCCAATGCGGGCGCATAGCAAAATGTGCAAATTGGCAAAATGCTCTGTAAACCCTTTCAATTACCAACAAATTAACGGTAATCACTTGAAACTGTCAGAAAGTGCGGCAAATAAGTATCGTAAAGAGATTCACTAAAGACCTTAGCCACAGCACAGGTGTTTGGCGGTGCGTACGAATGCGCAGCGGTCTTGTGGTTTCGCTAACCATCCAAGTATTCATGCTACACCAACACATAAATAACATAAATATTGGTATGTGTGTGCGCGCACCGCCAACGCAGCATCACGTTTCAGCGGCATCAGGCGCGCTTGCGTGCATACCTTCAATTAAGCAATACCACGCGCTGCTACGAAAGCTAAATTAATCGTTTTCATTGATATTTCATTTATTGGCATTAAAGTAATGAGTCAGCGTTACTAAACATCAATGCATTGAAATACACACACACACACGCTCATATGTAATTATTGTGTATCTAAGCAGCCTGCTTTGTTTCGTTCACCGATCGTATCTAAACGACTGAACAACAGCTGATCCCTGAAGCTGTTGGGTGTGATTAGTATGGAAGACGAAATTTTCTTTCAATCACTTATCAGTTGGCGAATCGAACAAGACGCTTATGTGTGAACAAATTTAGCCAATCACTTCATTATGCTCATCTGTTTGGTGGCAGCGAATATGTAGTTGTTGAATTCATGTTTTGCCAACTGTGGTTTGCTTTTTTGAACACATATACAAATTCGTGACTAAGACATTTTAACAAATATCATATGTGCGAACTGATGCTTTCACTGATTGTGACTTCATAAACTCATCACTTTGAGCCCAGACTTACTTATGAAATTATTTTACTGAGGGCTGTAGGAACAACTGTAACATATTCTTAACCAAATGTTACCAAATTTTGAATTATCTTTTTCGATAGCTTTTTTTAACTTTATAAGCTTACTTAATAAATAAAGAACTCTATAATATTATAAATACTATATAATCAACCTCTCTTAGATTAATCGGACATAAAGGTGTATGGTGTAATATAAAATCCCGAATATATTTTTTATAACTAATACCTTTTTTTATCATACTTAATTGAAAACTTCATATTAAGACATATTTTACTTAAGACTAATATCGACTGTAAGCTTTTTTTACAAGGTTTATCACTTGGCTTATGTATAATAAAAAACCTTCAGATTATGAACAAGCATAAAACTTATTTTTGTTCAGAGTCGCTATAGAAATCTATAAAAATCGATATATGTATATTAAAACCATAAAAATGTAGAAATTTATCTATCATCCTATTTATACCTATAAATGCTATTCAAACTAAAAAAAATACGAATGAATACAAGTACATGCCTTTGGCAGAAATATTACTCATACGCCCCTGTATAACTTGACAAGCATACTCAATGTACAATATTAAGAATATACGAGGATTGCATAAAGTAAAAAAATAATTGGCGCATTGAAGTTTCAATAAAATATAATATTCAAACTCAAGATAAGAAATTATTTATTAGCCAATAGGAGACGTTAAGAGAATACAGCCATTAATCTCTTATTGTAAAAAAAATCAAAAATTATTATTGAAATGAAGTATCAATGTTATAGTTTGGATACTTGTTATTTAAAAGTATTCAACAAAACCGCAGGAATAATTAATTTTAGCCACGAAAGATTTGGCCTAAGCTACAATAGTTCAAAGACACATATGTGAAATCGCCAATTTATTTTAGCTTTATTAAAACTATTTATACTTTCGAAACTTGTTGCACAGAGTATTGTAGTTTAATTCGAAAAACGGTTGTTTTCAATTTAGTAACTGATTGAGATAGAAACTTCCGAGAAAATGGCATATTTTTATTCAAATGTTTCAGAAAGCTCCCTAAGCATTCTTGTTCGAAATGTAAAAATATGTGGCAATGGTTTGTTGTGTAAGCTGAATGTATCATAATACAAAATTTGATCTATATGGATGGGTCCACACATTTATGAGTAAAATATCATATCACTTGACTACCTTCATTGCTCTTTGTTTGAAGATGTATAAATTTGGACCACAAACGCGCCTTCTTCCCATATAACGCTACTCTAAATTCTATTCGCCTTTTTTACGTAAAATAAACATCAGTAAGTGATCGACCGTCCGGTTGATTTTATACCGTACATTTTACCCAAAATGTTAGATATATTAATAAAATTAACGTCAAATTTCAGTTTAGATGGTATGAGAATCTGATCAAATTTCACGCAGCCTGATCCATATAAATACCGCGCACAACCAGAGTCGGTATAAATCTTTTTTCTAGATTGGTTTATATTCGTGTGAAGTTTTATTTCCACATGTCAATTAACAAGTATTTGGCGGCTGTTTATTTACAACGCGATAACTTTTTGTGGCGATTTTTACCATGGAAAGCATTCATTGAAGATGGTGAAGTCATCAAAATCTTGCCTCATAAGAGCCATCCATCCACCTGTGTTAATGACGAAAACATCAAAAAAGTTAAAGGATCGATTAAACATATTTTGGTTAATGTTTTGGATAGGAAGCGCGTCACTACTAGACACATACCAAAAGACCAGATTCTTTTGCAAAACCGACGCCAAGTAGAGGTCGCCCAAGAGATGCTTGACAACTTCCTGAGGAGTCTATGTTACATACTATTGACGAGACTTTGGTTTATGAAATATGACGTCTAAACTGTTCAAATAGTCAAAATTCGCTGTAGGCACTGAAGAGCATACTATCCGACGCTTATAACAAGTGTATGGAAATATTTATTAATCGTTGACATGCTTGTATTGGCTCAAAAGTAGCCTATTTTGAAGGCGATAATTAAGATTTGAAATATAATTTGTGAAAATGTAGTTTTTATGTCAGTCCGGGCCAATTTTGATCGGATGGTATACCTAATACTCTCTTTTATATTCTATTGCCGAATATATTAGTAAATATTTTAGTGACATTAAGTGAACATATTCATGTAGAAATAGTAGGGTTTGGTGCTAAATATACATGAAATCGATCCATATGTTTCTCCAAGACCTATAAACGCAATATAATGATTTTCGTCCATCTGGTTGATTGTTATATGTATGTTTAGAATTCCTCCCAATAATGAATATTGCATTCATTGGTTGTATTTATTATAGTTTTACTGACACCTGAACATACTTCCAAGCTCTTTAGTGCAAAAAACTTAATGTTTATATAATTTCCGATTGCACCCGAACATAATACTTCATAATTTTTTTTTACACGTTTTTAAAAATATTACTGCTATTTATCATCAATATGTTGTCCAAGACAGCTTAATATAACAGTAACAGTAACACAAACCCACAAACATTAATGAATATTTTTACACATATTCGAGTGAATAGAGCCAACTTCTGGTTATCGGCCAGCATCTTTTCAATATTATATCCAATTATGTTTATATACACTATTTAGATATATATGTATATATCTATATACCATGTATATCTATATACATTTATATCTATATACAAATATGTCTGCATATACTACAACTTTACGATTCTGCAAAACTTTACCTTTATGAATGTTCGTATGTACCGTTCAAATACTTCCGAAAGTGTTCATCAAGCAATAACGAGAAGAGATCATCTTGAAAACAAACCAAATGTGCAGCCAAAGAGTACACTGAACTTTAATAATTGCAAAAAAAAAACTAAAAAGGTGATAAAAATACAAAAATCAGTCATGAGACCCACTCAATATCGCTATGTACGCACGCGTCTACGCTTCTTCGTAATATTTCAAATATTAAAGTGTAACTACTCAAGGTCTACTTGTTTCCAACGCTCGAATATAAAAAGCAAGTGCTCGTTAGTAAATTGCAATCACAATCGAATCGGCAATTTAGCAGTGCGCTCCGCCGAAACAACGCCACAGCACGCACGCAGTCACGCATTTATAGAAGAACGCACAGACGCACCAACGCACCGACGCACTTCACACTAAAAAAGAAGCGCAGAGGCAATAATAACAAGAAACACCACAAAAATGGTTAGTATTTCAATTGACACACAAATATTCACCGTTATTAAACAAATACCGTTTCTAATTTATTATCACACATTTGGAATTTTGCACAGCATTTTCTCACTTTGACGCTTGTGGCATGTGCAACCTTAGGCGCTGCCAACGCAGATGTCTCACATTTGGCCAAACACTACATACCACCAAGAATGATGATGCCACCTGTTGTGGCCGGCAGCGCAGTGCTAATAGGTCCGAGTAATAGCATGCGCTTAACCCATCGTGGGCAGCACACAGTGACCACAATTGAGAAGCAGGAATTGCGCGAGTTGCCGACACAAACGGAATATCTGCGACCGGGACGCATGCCTTATGGCATTGGTGGCAACATGGAAAACTACCAGGGACAAAATGGCATGCGCGCAGCTGAACGTGGTGTTGAGAAACCGCTGGCTATGATGATGCCAAGAGAACTGTTGGCACCAGCACCACCGGCGCCAACAGCGACCGAACCAGCAAAGCAAGAACAAGCAGCAATTGTTGCACCAAGTAACCGGTATTTGGCGCCTGCGATGAGCGAAATGACAGAAGGACAGATGAGGCAGCATGCTGACATGCTCTCGAAACAGTACTTGGCACCAGCGAGGAGCGAAAACACCGTGGAACAGATGAGGGATGGTGGTGATATGCCATCGAAGCAGTACTTGGTACCAGCAATGATGAAAATGCAACAACAAAGGCAAGCAAACGCAGCAGATATGCCCAGCAGACAGTATTTGGCGCCAATGGTAAAAGATCAAGAGCAACAGCAAACACAGCAGCAATCACAACAATATCAACAAGCACAAGAGCAGCAGCAACAACCAACACCAGCTGCACCATCGCGACAATATCTAACACCAATGCCGATGCATATGCAAGACCAAATGCATGAAATGCCTGCAATGAGTGCACCAAGCAGACAATACTTGGCGCCAGCGCCAACAATGCCAGCCAGCAATGAACAACATTTGGAGCAGCAATCAGCGCCAGCACCACAGTACTTGCCACCAAAACAGCAGATGCATGAAATGCCCGTCAATCAATATTTCGCGCCACACTCAAGCGACAGACATGCCATGACAATGCAACAGCTAATGGAGCAACAAAAAGAGATGGCACAACCACCAGCCTCGCACTACTTGCCACCCACAATGCAAATGCAAGGTGAATTAACTGCACCGCTAATGCCGGCAACGCCGCCAATGCAGCCATCTCGTGAATATCTCAGTCCTTTTGGCGAGGCTGAAAATGTTGCCGAAGCTGCGCAGGAAGTCTCTGAAATGTTTGATGACCACTCAGCACTACAACCGACACCACCACCAGCAGCTGAGAGGGAAGAGAAGCCCGCCAACTACTATCTTCCTCCACAGTCCGTAGACGCGCAGCCAATCAACTATCAGCAATACCGCGCGCTGACACAGTCGGTACCATTAGCACCTGTTGATTTTGTTCGTCAACATCAACAGTTGATGACGCAGTACAATGGCGTATCCGACACGCCAGTATTTTTCGCGGAACCCACTCTACAAAAGGTGGCTGAGCCTACACCAGCACATTACTTAGCAAATGATGGTTATCATTATCGCGATGGCGGTAACAATAATGTACTCAGTAACGGTAATGATGAGGCAAGACGCTTCCGTGTGAGACACTGAGCGTATAGTTAGTGCGTCACTGTAACATTTGTTACTAATTTGTTATATGTTATTATTGTTTTCGTTGTTTTAGTTTAGTTTTCGAATAAAATGCAATTAAAATTTATACCAACCGGAAGTTTTTATTGAAGCTCAATTTTAAACTGTATTCTCTTGAGAAGCTTTGACCATAATATCTTTAGGTCTCTTAAAGTAAACCCGACTTTCACCTAATATTCTTGACTTCGGAACACCACATGATGATAATAGTCACAGTATTCCATTGCCTCGGATGATGCATAGTTTGAACAACGACAAACTCAAACTTCGATGCCCTTTTCTGCTGTACAAAACAGTTTCACAAGAATCCGTCAGTCGTTCAGAAGCTGTTTTATGTAGTCGATCGAAACTCATGGAGCATACCACAAATTAAAGAATAAGCTCTACAGCTACAGAAAAAATGTGAGCTTCAACAACTTAAAATTAGGCTATTGAAGCGTGAATGTAATCCACAAGTTGTGTCGACTATATTGTAATCCCTATGGCATAGACTGTCTGATATTTCTTATGTGTGTACATATACAAGTAAAACCCATCGAAGATCTGAAGTTACTTTATTAATGTTGATATTAAAAAGGGATCGGATATATAGTCAAAACTAGACTTACGCATTGCTTAGACACTTATAATGATTAGAGTAGGACTAAGAAACATCAAAAAGTATAGTTGTCTTTACTTAGGCTTAAACTGGTTAGTGTTTAGCGAAGTATTTAAGTCTTTGCAACAAACGTTTTCCTTCACGAAGTGAATGAACAAAAACAATACAAAAAGCTTTCATCATCAAACCAACAATGAAATGTGAACTACACATTCCTTACTCGATTCATGTGACCCTATTGTGCACCACAACTCCGTAATTGTAGACAGTTTCGTCTATCTTTGAAATTCAATGAAATATTCACTCCTAAGAATAAATATTTCTTTCGACTGAAGAGACAAGTTTAAACTCAAATACCCTCTCGACTAAACTAACATTTCTTCCAGAATCTCATAATCGGTCTAATAACATCTGATCAAATTTGACCCGGACTGGTCTATTGAAACCACGCACGCAAGCCAAGTAGAAAACAACGTTTTCTGGATTCGTACTACTTTTTTATACTCGGGTGAAGTTTGATTTCCATATGTCTATTAGTGTTTATGGCAGTTGTTTGTTTACGCGTGAAAAATTTATTTAGCGATTTTGAAGCAGTGCTTATACAATATCTGGATCCAAACAAGAAGAATATAAGGTAGAAAGAAGTTGAAAAATTTGATACTGATAATCAACTACATTTGCATTCAAGTATAAAAGGAAAATAACTCTAGAAATTTAAGCATCTTAAGAGGATCAGAAATCTCAGGAAAGATTTTAGTTCATGGGTATTTTCACCTGGGATGGCAATATACCATATATTTAGAACGTTCGACAATTTTATTTCTCGAATGATGATGTCACTAATCAGTGTTTGGAATACTTTCTTTGAGCTTTTAACTAGGTCCTTGTCCTCATAAACACCTATATTTTAAGCTAATTGAGAAAGCCAATACCCAGAATAAAAATCTCATCTTACATCTAGTTAGATCTGGCATTAGATTCTATTGTAATTACGATAATTTGATAGCCGAAACACTTAATAAATTATACAAAATTTAAAAATGCGTTCATTTTGCCAATTTAATTATTTTCAACGTGCTCCTCCTCTCCCTCTTCCTCCAGCGAGGCACCCTCGCGCAACGTGTCCACTTTGTGCAGCGTGAAGTTCACATTGTAGTAAGGCACATTGAGAGTCACCACAATGCAGTAGAGCAGCACCTGTAAGTGTTTCGTACGCAACAGATACGAAGCGCCTTGTCCTTTCGGGAACAGCGGATGATCCTTGCTTTGGCAATCGAACATAAAGAAACCGCCATCAAAGCCCATGGTGCGGCCAATAGCCAAAGAGTGTTTGTAGCATTGCAAAATACCGAATTGAAAATGAGTGAAAAAATACATCAGCGCGTCGGCCAAGTTCATGGTGGTGCGTGTACCCGGATCGTAAAGTTTACCGAAGGCAACATGCTCCAAATGTACCACAAATTTGATATTCTCTAGCGTACAATCCACATTCAAGTCCTCTAATGAGAACTCATAGTCCGAAAATTTAATGTCCTCCAAGCTCTCGCGATGATAACGATCGCCATTGATAACAATGGTGTCGAGTAAGTGTGGACTCCAATCTGTCAAACTGTAAACCTTGGCAGCGCAGCAAGCCATCACATTACATGCCAGATATTGTTTACCACGCGATGCGCCACCAAATACTGGCGCTTCGGGGTGTAAATTGCCCCATAGAGACCACAAACGTCCATCGATCTCGATATCGAAACGCTTGAGCTTGGTGACAGGCAAATTGCGATAGCGACCCGCTGTATTGCGACGATTCATGCGGCTCCACACCGGCAAGCAATTCTCCAAATCCAGCCAAGCCATAGTTTCGGGGTGCGCACACATTACCGCCTCGTCTTCGCCATGTTGTGTTGTCTTGCATTCGATCGGCACTGACAAATCGGTGAGCAATTGTAGTATGCGTGTCTTGGGTTCCGCCTTCCTGTACGAGATCACATCGATCACATGCAGTGCATACTCACCGGCCATTTGCCATGATGAATTCGCAGCACGTTTATCCACATATTTTAGTAGTGACTCGATATCAGCGAAGAGTACCCACGAAGCGGTGTTACGTTCACCATAACGCTTCGCACCTTTCTTACATTTACCCTTGCGTGGTCCCTGCTTTTCAACATAGTCGCCATCATCGTCTTCTTCTTCCTCTTCTTCGCCGCCTTGTGATTTCTCCATAGATGGATAGGGATCGAAAAGGTGATAGTACTCATCGTGGAAGATAGCGAATGTCGTATTGGACACTTGGAGTAGCATATACTTCCGTGTTTGCATCGATTTAGCAATTTTACGTGATACGTTAGCGCCTGCCATGCCGGCCGGTTCGTGTGTCTTAACCCAGACGTCGAATTTGTAATCGTCCACCGTGACATTTTTGATAAATCGTTCGAACGCCGAGGTCATATTCGTGACACGACTTGCAATAGCTTTGCCACTTTCGATCACGCGATCCACACGTTGGGCAGACCACTGATTGAGCGGACGCAATATTGTGTACAATACCGCCAATGTGCTGGCAAAGAAGCAAGGCTTGATTTTATCGACCAGAGCCTCGGAGCGTCCTTCCAATGCGTTGGTACCTTGTATCTTGAAGTTACAGTCCTTCTCACGCATACGATAGCCGTAGAGGATTTTATGTGGCTTGAAACTGGTATCGAGTTCGTGTTGTAATTGCTTGCCTGGCTTATGCTTCAATTCCACTTCTTCCTCTTCATACTCTTCCATCTCCTCCATTTCATCCTCATCGAATTCCTCCTCCAAGTCGGTAGGTTCAGCTGAACGATTCATGCTGACCCTCTTTTTGCCTAATTTATACAGAAGACCCAGAAAAACAATAAATTAAACAAATGCAAAATAGAATTTAGTTTAACAAACAATTCAAACAATTTTGAAATGAATATATTGGAAACAAAAAAGAACTAAGCAAATTTGTCTCCAAAACTTTTATTCAAATTCAACGCATTCTGTAACAAGTAGTAGATACAGTGAAGAAGTTATGAAAAAGAAAGAAATATTTAATAAGACCTATCTGTACAAGCTGAAACCAAATAATTTTTACATAGATCCTCGAGTAGTTTTCCAAAATAAAGCCAGATACTTTGAACAATTATTTGAAAATCACAAATTCCACAATTATAAATTACGGTCAAGCCCTATTTGAACGATTATGTGAGTAAAATGTATATTGATCAGCGTTTGCAAGACCGAGGTTGAAACATATCGCAGATTAACTTTCGGAGAACCAGGCGAGATAGCCGAAAATGATATTTGCCGCCTGAACAAATTTGTGGTAGGCTTAAAATGCTTTGTCAAATTATGAGCGTCTTTATGATCAATACACATATGTAGGTATGTGGTTTTAGATATCACAATAGACCTAGAACCGCAGGTGTGATATCTGTTGGAGATTGTAACAGAATCGATCTTTCAACCTAACGAACCTAACCTAAACTATGTTCCACTCTAATCAATATTCCTCTGTGCTGAATAAATAAATATATTTTTTCGATTACATCTCATCGATGCATTTACTCTCAGCTTCTGCGATTAAAGATAATCGATATATTTAAATGTAAATTATTGTGAGGAAATTACTAAACTAATGTAACTGATCGGAGTAATCCAGACCTTAGATACCCGATATCGATAATTAAAATCGATAATTAATGATTTAATATCGATTGAGAAACGTATTCATCGATTATGATGCAAAAATTTTAAATATGTCATAAGGAGTATTTTAATACGAGTACAATTTCACACCACCTACCTTTTCCTTTGGTCCGCTTCTGCGAACGCGCGGCTATCTTCTCTTCCTTCTCCTCCAAGAATCGCTGTATACGTTCATTCTCTTTACGCAACTCACGATCGAGGAAACGTATCTTATCCAAACGTAATCGATCCAATTTCTGCTTACGATCGCTCTCAGCCGCATACACAGACTCCTCAACATCTGGTGGCCATTGCCTATAGCGCTCAGGCGGTACATTTGTCATGTCCAAAACTTTTATAGCGACCGCAACATAATTGGTGATCTCACAACCTTGCGGATTGCAACCGAACTCTATGCGTCGTATTAGCGAGTCCAATTCAACGAAACGTAACAGACAACCCGGACCAGAGCCGAACTTACGATAACCGACAGGTGTGCAAGGAAAACCAATAAACATATAGAGGAAATTATAGCGTTTAACAATCAGACATGAGAACATCTGACAAATAACAATTAAGCGATTATAGGTTATCAGACTCTCAAGCAGCATTTGACGCAACGTGCGCGTCATGGAACTTTGTATGACACGCTCCAAATGTAGCAGATAAATATTTTTGCCAATATTTATCTTCGGCATACTCTTCGAAAGGAATGCGCTCAAAGTCGCCTCATAGTTGGAGAACTCGTCGCCGAAACTATTGGAAGACTCCAC